AATAGACTGGTAACAGGAACTCAGAGTTAACATTACTGGGGTCCATCAGGTGCTGGGCTCTGTTCTAATGTGTCCTTGGCTGTTAACACACACACACCCAGGAGCGAAGTGCATCTGATCCCCACTTTACAGATGAGGAAATTGAGGCTCAGCTTTTGGGAAATTGTTCTTACTCTTCAGTGACAAATATACAGGCCCCGCCTCCCATCCGGTGGCCTCTCAGCACACACAAACGCACACGCACACTCACATGCACACACACACATGCACACATACACACTCATGCATACATACATGCTCACACACATTCACATATGCACACACACTCACATGCACACACACATGCACATACACACACTCACACATACACATTCACACATGCACACACATTCTCACACACACATTCACACACACACTCTCTCACACACACACACACACACGCAAAACCCTCTGGGATGTTGCCGTCTCCTCTCCTTTCTCTCTCTGGTATCTGATATTGCTACACCTCCGAGGTGTTCAGATCACTTTGACCTCCGGGGTGTCTTCCCAAACCTTTCACAAAGCCTGTTGTCGGTATCACATGTCACTGAGAGGTGACAGTCACCTCCCTGGGCAGAGACAGTGTGGACACCCCTTCCCCACTGGGAGAGGAGGGACTGAAGCCAGTGTGCGCGATGTCGCTCATGCATTAGCAGCTACTGACCGAGCGCCATCCCTGTGCTGGCTGGGCTGGGCCCTCGGAGAGACCGCAGCAGAGGGTTTGGCCTGCCCCCGGAAGGGACAGTCTTCTAGGAAAGAAGGCATCACAGGCCACGAGATCCTCGCAGGGCGCTGCAGATAAGCCTGGCAGAAGGGCATTGTGGGCAGAGAAGGAGCCAAAGGTGGAGGCCCCATCGGCAGGCCTGGACCCCGCCTGGGAGGCTTCCTCAGCTGGGCTGCTACCTGCCAGGACCCGAGTGGATTGCAGGCTCTGATTGCAAGGCGGCCTGGGACTTCGAGATGGTCCGAATCTAGACTGGCTGCCGTACTCCACAGCCAGCACAGTGACCTCAGAGAGTCCCTGCCCACTAGGAAATGGGCAGACTTGGGGGAATAGGACCCAGTCTCCTGGCTTCCAGCCTCATGTTCTTTCCACAAGACCATGGGATGTTGCCGTCTCGTCTCCTCTGTCTCTCTGGTATCTGATATTGCTACACCTCCAAGGTGTTCAGATCACTTTGACCTCCAGGATGTCTTCCCAAACCTTTCACAAAGCCTGTTGTCGGTATCACATGTCACTGAGAGGTGACAGTCACCTCCCTGGGCAGAGACAGTGTGGACACCCCTTCCCCACTGGGAGAGGAGGGACTGAAGCCACTGTGCGCGATGTCGCTCATGCATTAGCAGCTACTGACCGAGCGCCATCCCTGTGCTGGCTGGGCTGGGCCCTCGGAGAGACCGCAGCAGAGGGTTTGGCCTGCCCCCGGGACAGCCAAGGGACAGTCTTCTAGGAAAGAAGGCATCACAGGCCACGAGATCCTCGCAGGGCGCTGCAGATAAGCCTGGCAGAAGGGCATTGTGGGCAGAGAAGGAGCCAAAGGTGGAGGCCCCATCGGCAGGCCTGGACCCCGCCTGGGAGGCTTCCTCAGCTGGGCTGCTACCTGCCAGGACCCGAGTGGATTGCAGGCTCTGATTGCAAGGCGGCCTGGGACTTCGAGATGGTCCGAATCTAGACTGGCTGCCGTACTCCACAGCCAGCACAGTGACCTCAGAGAGTCCCTGCCCACTAGGAAATGGGCAGACTTGGGGGAATAGGACCCAGTCTCCTGGCTTCCAGCCTCATGTTCTTTCCACAAGACCATGTCCTCGGAGTCTGTTTTTGGGGGGAAGGCGGGGGGTGTGGGCAGTGAGAGGAAGAACACGTTGTCCAGGGGCTTTTGCAATGCCTGGTTTAGGTGCGGGCTGCTGAGCAAAGAACCACAAATTATCCCAAGTCCTCGCACTTCCGTACATCCTACGGGCCTTGTGGCTCTCACAGTGAGTGGGGCAGCCCATGCTACACAGAACATCCCTGCCCCCTACGCTGGAGGCCTCAACAGCAGCACTTCCCAGCCCTGCCACGTGACTTACAGTGATTTTTCTCCATTCAGAGAAAAACAGTCAATGGAACAGTCATTTTTCTTTTCTAGTATCTGATTTTTTAAAATACAAAAGCAATTTGTAAAACGATTGAAGTAATATGAAGAGGTAAAGCAAAAAGTAAAACTCCTACCATTCCACGTTCCCAAGGAAATAACCACTGGATGTTTATCCTCCTTGGGGTTTCTCCATGAATATACACACAGAAATGGGTCATACTGTAGAAATAGTGGGGTCGTTGCTTTCAAATGGGAGTTAAGTTCCAAAGTTGGGAACGAGACATAGTTGTATGCATAGAGTCCACATTTTCCTTAAATGTCCAGCACCTGCCTCTTGGAGCTCATTCGCCAAGAGTTACCGTAGCATTTTCTCTTCTCAGTTTGGCTCTGGCTTTCTTGCCTTGGGGCTGTGGAAGGTGATCCAGTAATAACTGGATTTCCCTTATTCACTTCTTAAAGGACGCCTGGCTGTGCAGTTGATGTCCAGTTGTAACACCCCGGTGGCGGCTGCCACCAGAGGAATCCACCGGGTGGAAGAGTGAACAGGAAAGGGGACAGTCTGGTCCTGTTACCCAGTGTGTCTGGAGCCACCTGGTCCCTCTGGGCCTCTGCTTTGTCACTGTCCTGAGCAGTGTCCCCAAGGGCCTGGGGTGCTGGGGGCCTCCCAGCCTTTTGTGTCCAACCCCATCTGCTCTTCTTTGCAGGGCATTCTGATCACCTGGACAAAGCGATTTAAAGCGAGCGGAGTGGAGGGAGCGGATGTGGTGAAGCTGCTTAACAAAGCCATCAAAAAACGCGGGGTAACTTCTCTCTAGGCCACCCGCCTTGGCCACACGGAGGTGGGGGGGGTGTGTGGGGAGAAATCTGTGTTCTAAAACAACTCTTTGGGGAGTGGGGGAGGCATAGTGCATGGCCTGAGGCATCACGTGAGAGGTCTTGAAGGCCCAGGAAGAAGCAGGTGGTGCGGGGCTCCGTCAGAAGGCGGGGTGGTTTGACACGGAGCTCTTTGAGGCAGGGGAGGCCGCCTCCTGACAGAGGAGGGCCGGGCCGTGCAGGGAGCCGTGTGAGCAGGTGCAGCCTGTGTGGTGGGAAGCAGGGCAGCCAGCACTGGATGTAGTGGGGTGACTTGCAGAGGGCTGTGGCTCTGCGTATAAAATCCACATGGGAAAGAATCTTCAGCCAGATAACCAAGGGGACGGGGCCGTTTCTATAATTTAATCACCGCATGGGGTCCAGGTAATGGGAGTGCCAACAGGGATGAAAGTGGTCCCTCCTCCAGGAGCAACAGCAGGTATGAAAACCACCCTCTCTTTTGTTTTTTTGGTTAATCCTCATCCAAGGATATTGTCTTCCTTTTTTTTTTTAAGAGAATGGAAGGGAGGGGGAGAGACGCACAGAGAGAAACATGGTATGAGACACACACATCCATTGGTTGCCTCCTACATGCACTTGGACCAGCGCCGGGGATTGAGCCTGCACCTGATACGTGCCCTTGACTGGAATCAAACCCGGGACCCTTCAGTTTGTAGGCCAATGCTCTAACCACAGGGGAAAACTGGCTAGGCCTCTTTCTCTTTAAGGTTGTGACCTCTGCCCCCATGTGTGGGTGGACGGTGACGTCCTGTTGTCTGTCCCCAGGATTATGATGCCAACATCGTGGCTGTGGTGAATGACACGGTGGGGACCATGATGACTTGTGGCTACGACGACCAGCATTGTGAAGTCGGCCTCATCATCGGTAACGTCTCCCGTTTCCTCGTCCCTTCCTTCGGCCGGTATGTCCAGAAGGCACCGCCGCCTCTCTGTGACTTGGTGTGTGGTCACAGCTTCTGCTCTCGTCTCTCTCCAAGGCACCGGCACCAACGCGTGCTACATGGAGGAGCTGAGGCACATCGACCTGGTGGAAGGCGACGAGGGGAGGATGTGCATCAACACCGAGTGGGGGGCCTTTGGGGACGACGGGGCCCTGGAAGACATCCGCACGGAGTTCGACCGCGAGATAGACCGGGGGTCTCTCAACCCGGGGAAGCAGCTGTGAGTCCCCCCACCTTTCCATACTCGTCATCTGTGTGCCTCAGGACATTTAGCACGGGATTTGGGTGGGAGCTGAAAGGGGCAGAAAGCCCGGTGCCCACAAAGCGAAAAGCCCATCAGATTTGCACTGTCTGCCACTCCTTTGGGGAGATACCCAGCTGCAGAGTCTGCACTGGCTCCTGCAAGCTCAGGGTCGCACAGACGCCGTTCCAATAGGTCCTTGGGGTGGCAGGCGGGCATGTAGGACTCAGAAAGGCTCTCTCCTGCCAGGGATCCTCTGCACAGCGTGGCCGGGGCGGTCCTGTCTGGTCCTGTCAGGAGCAGGAACAATGAGAACGGTGTTCTCGGTGCCCGTGTTGACGGATGAGGGCGGGCCGGGGCTCAGGGTCTTTCATCCACCACCGAGCTGGCCCTGGCGCTTTGGAGAAGCACAGTGGAAATCTGCTAAATTGGCGGTCCCGCTGAACTTCACCTCTGATCTAACCCGGCCCAGCACCGCAGGTCCCAAGCTTCTCTCTGGCGCCATGGGAACTGCTCTGCCTGGCGCATCAGGGCGGAGAGCAGAGGGACCAACTTCCTCACGCTGCTGGGTCCTGCTGCTTCCTCTTCGGCAGCACATGTGAAAGGCTGTGAGTGCCACCTGCACACCTGCCCCGGTGTCTGCTTTAGGGAAATTGGGACAGAAAGGGAAACTCCGCTTGGCCGGCGTGGCTCAGTGGTTGAGTGCCGACCCCGGAAAACAAGAGGTCACAGTTCAATTCCCGGTCAGGGCACATGCCCAGGGTTGCGGGTTCGATCCCCAGTGTGGGGTGTGCAGGAGGCAGCCAGTCAGCGATGCTCTCTCATCATTGATGTTTCTATCTCTCCCTCTCCCTTCCTCTCTGAAATAAATTAAAAAAAATTTTTTTAAGTATAGCATCAGTTCTGTAAGAGATGAGCATATTCTGCTCAGTTCTAAGTCCTAACGTTTCTGCTAAGTCCTTCCCTGCCTGCCTCTGGGTGCTCGCCCCCGGTTGACCACCCTGGGCATGGGTGTGGGGTCTAGATGACCCCGGGCATCCCCTTGTTGCTTATTCACACGTGTGTGGTCTTGCCTGCCAGCGAGGCTGAGAGCTGGTGAGGGATGGGTCCGCATCTCCTGTGTCTGTCCCACTCCCTCGAGTTGCCCGGTGGCGGGTGCGTCGGAAGGGCCTAACGAGTGCCTGGGTGCTCTTCTCCTGCAGGTTTGAGAAGATGATCAGTGGCATGTACCTGGGGGAGCTGGTTCGACTGATCCTGGTCAAGATGGCCAAGGAGGGCCTTTTATTTGAAGGGCGGATCACCCCAGAGCTGCTCACCAGAGGGAAGTTTACCACCAGTGACGTGTCAGCCATTGAAAGGTAGGTGGTGTCTCTGAGGCTCTCTGGGGGGCTGTGGGGGCCGAAGAGCCACAGGTCCCTTGTTACCATGAGTCCTGGTTTGGTGGGCATCTCCCTCAAGAGCGCAGGGCTTCCTGGTCCATCTCTCCTCTCCTAGCTGTCCCGCCTGGGCTGGTCTCCCTGCAGGTACCTGGTGTCAGCTCATTAAAGAATGGTAGCCCGGCCAGCATGGCTCAGTGGTTGAGCATTGACCCGTGAACCAGGAGGTCACAGTTTGATTCCTGGTCAGGGTGCATGTCCAGTATGTTTGAAGAGGTGTGTTGTG